CAGCATCTGAAAATAAAATTAAAAAACAGTTTCACTTCCAAAAGAATAAAACACTTAGGAATTATTTTAACAAAGGAAGAAATTCTATCACATTTAATAGGTTTGGAAATTATAAAACATGTAAATAATCTAAATAAATGAAAGGACATTTCATATTTCTAGTTCAAAAGACTTAATATTGTTAAGATGGAATACTATTCAAATTTATTTACAGAGTCAAATAAACCCCTATCAATATCTTAGCTTTCTTTTATTGCAGAAATCGACAAACTGATTCTACAATTCATATGGAAGTGTAAGGGACCCTGAATAGCCAAAAGATTCTTAAAGAGAGGAATAAAGTTGAAAAGGGGTGGGGGTGGGGTGGCATTCAGACTTCCTGATTTCAAAAATTACTATAAAGCTGCAATAATAAAAATAATTGTGGCAATGGCAAAAGGATAGATATACAGATCGATGGACTAGAATTGCAAATTCATAAATAAACCCTTTCATTTATGAACTATTTTTTTTTTTTTTTTTGAGTTGGAGTCTCACTCTGTCGCCCAGACTGGAGTGCAGTGGCCGCTCCCGGCCACCGCAGCCTCGACCAGCTGGGCTCTGGCGATCCTTCCGCCTCAGCCTTCCAAGTAGCCGAAATTACAGGCGTGCGCTACCACGCCCGGCTGATTTATTTTTATTTTTATTTTTTTATGTTTTTTTGAGTTGGAGTCTCACTCTGTCACACAGACTGGAGTGCAGTGGCTGCTCCCGGCCACCGCAGCCTCGACCTGCTGGGCCCTGGTGTTCCTTCCGCCTCAGCCTTCCGAGTAGCCAGAATTACAGGCGTGCGCTACCACACTCGGCTGATTTTTTTTTATTTATTGTAGAGATGAGGTCTCGCTGCCCATGCGGGTCTTGAACCCACGGGCTCAGGCAATCCACTCACCTCAGCCTCCCAAAGGCGTGGGATTACAGGCTGAGCCACCGAGCCCGGCTTGAACTGTTAATTTTTTACAAAGATGCTGAGATAATTTATTTCAACAAATGGTGCTATAACAACTGGATATCCACATGGAAAATAATTAAGTTAGTACTACCTCATGTCATACACAAAAATTACCTCAGAATTGATCATAGATTTAAAAGTAAGGACTAAAACTATAAAGTCTTATAATAAAATATAGGTGTAAATCTTCATGACCTTTGGCTAGGTGATGGTTTCTTAGACTTGACCACAAAAGAACAAGCAACAACAAAAAAAGTAAAATGGTAAACTGAACTTCACCAAGATTAAAAAAAAGTAAAATGATAAACTGAACTTCACCAAGATTAAATCTAGGACCCTATCAAAAAAGTAAAAAGACAACCCACAGAATAGGAGAAAATATTTGTAAGTCATATATCTGATAGGGGTCTAGTATCCAGAATATATTAAAAACGCTTACAACTCAAAGTAAAAAGACAAATAACTTAAAAAAAAACAACAGGCAAAGCATTTGACTAACCACTTCTTAAAGAAGATATTCAAAGGCCAATAATTACATGAAAAGACACTCAACACCAATCTTATTAGGGAAATGAAAATTAAAACCATGATGAATGGATGATTGTGGTAAAAAAAAAAAAAAAGACAATAACAAGGGTTAGTAAGGAGGTGGCGAAATCAGAACCCTGTACACTGTTGAGTAAAATGTGTGAATGTACAAGTAAAATGGTACATTTTGGAAAACAGTTTGACAGCTCTTCAAGATGTTAAACATAAAGTTACATATGACCTAGCAATTCCACTGTAGGGATATACTCAAGAGAAATGAAAACATATGTCCACACAAAAACTTGTACTTGAATGTTCATAGCAGCATTACTTATAATAGACACAAAGTAGAAACAATTCCAATCTTCATCAACAGATAAATGGACAAACACAATGTACTATATCCATACAATGGAATATTATACAACCATGAAAAGAAATAAATATACATGCTGCAACATGGATGAACCTACAAAAATCACACTAAGTGAACAAAGTCACAAAGGTCACACACCATATGATTCCATTTATATGAAATGCCCACCACAGGCAAATTTACAAAGACAGAAAGTAGATTAGTGATTGCTTAGGGAAGGTGATGGGAATTGGGGAGGGACTGCTGTTGGGTACTGAGTTGTTTCTTTTTTGGGGTGATGAAAATTTTATGAACTTAGGTTGTGGTGAGCTTAGATTATGAAATTTTTGGTATATGAATTATATCTCAATGAAAATATTTAAGACAACTAAAAATAGTCCTAAAGGATTATGGGAATGAGAGAAGACATATTGTGGGATCCTCAAAGTATGTCTTCTCGTGATTGCGGGGTCCACTATGGCTTTTATCTAAGTCTAGATTGGGGGATGGTGGTTGTACCTGCCTCAGCTTCTAGCCCTAGAATCTAGAGTTGAGAAAGGAGCTTTGAGATCTGCATTGACCTTGCCCCAGATATAAGTCAGAGATATAAGTCACTGCATTTGATTTGTCTAGTTAATAGTGTTTCCTCATGGCAAGGTCTCCATGGTAGTAGAAACATGCTGTACTCCCAATGATTGTGGTTTGTAGTCTGAAAGTCACTTTTCCCATGCCTTGCTGAGTTGTCACTGTTATTCCTGCTTAACAGGGAACCTGAACCAGAGATGTGAAGGAGTTTGGCCAAGGTCAATCAGCATGTCAGTGGCAGAATGAATGGTCCCCAGTCTAGTGATTTTTCTACTTCCAGTTGCTTGTTTTTTTTGTCTACAAAATGTCTGCTCCACTTTCTGCTGAGAAGGAGATGGGTCACAAGAGGGTCAGCCCTTCTAGTCTTTGTTTCTCAGCATGGATAAGGATGATAAAAAAAAAAAAGATAGGAGATGTTACAACACATGCTTTGCAGGGATATCAGTGGATAAGGATGTCGGTTGTAGAGATCTCAGACTGAGAATCTGGTGGTGACTCGTGGTACTCATTTGCTTATGAGGAAGATGCCACTTTTTTGCCTGGTTCACTGATGTATAAGGATTCTGTTCTAGTTAATGATCTCATTCCAACTTTGTTTGTCCTAGTAGCAGTTAAGAGTGTTTGAGAGCTTTACTTTACCATCCTAGGTAAGATCATAATTGGCCTCTATTGCTGCACACCAGCAGTCTCCCCTTAATTGATGACAGGCCCCAAAAAGCTTAGTTGTCTCAGAATCCCATGCACATCATCAACTGGAACTCCCAACACATTCTACATCTAAGAAACATTCCATACAACGTTCTAGCACTTGGGTTTACTGATGTGTTTATCAAACTTGGACATCACACTTTTGGATTTGCTTTGTGACCTGGCCATCTAGCTCTGCTAACTCAGGCCCCAAAGTCAGAGCTGTTCTGATGCACAGAGACATTCAGCTCCTCAGAGGCTGGCCACGCCTATGTTGTAAGGGTGTCTGTGGCCATCACATTCTCCTTCATGACATGGGCAAGACTCTTGCCTCCTCTGCACTTAGGCTCTTTCTGTGCACAGAGGTCTGCCTGGGACACTAACCCATCAGGAATGGGGCACAGTTCCTGCCTACCTATGGCCACCTTTCTTATTGTTCACTCTTCTCTGACTAAGGACTGTCAGATCCAGAGATCCTACCTTGATGGCAGCTAAAGAAAAACTCTACTGTTATCACCATTGAGGGCTTACAGGGATGTGTTTATTAACTATTTGTCAGTTGATCTGAGAGAAAAATTGGGTTATTTCAGGAAGAGCTCTGCTTGTTTGGAACACCTACTGCATTTAGGCACTAAACTTATACTTGCTTCTGGTTGGCTGTTATTTCCATACCTCACAGAATAACTTGTAGGGGCTATTGAAACATGTACAAGAACAAACACAAATTTCTCATCTAGACCGTTAAGCATGTGCTCTAAGTCTCATTTCTACTGAGTCCTGTTGTTAGTTCCCTCACAGGGAGTGGGAAGTGACAGGACACTTCCTTCTGATTGCTCATTTATTGTGGTTGCCTACAAAGAATAGGATGTCCACTCTTCCTGGCAACTGTAAAAACTATATTGCAAATTCTTTTTACAAAGGAATATCTGATTCAAATTTATTTGTGTTTTTTGAGTTAATTCACTTCTATAGGCCCCAAATTGCCTCCTGCCTGCCCACTCTCCTCCTATCCTCCCTTCTTCCCTCCTCTTTCCTCCCTCTCTCCTATTTTGGACACATTTATATTTATCACTTATTCTTCTACAAGGCATCTCCTGTGCCTGGGCAGCCACTATTGAAGATTGTCATAGGCTTGCAACATCTTTCAGTTTGCATAATCTACTTGGAATCTTGGAAAGGCCCATGTGGTGGGGATGCAAGCAGGCCCCAGTGATGCTTCTGGAATGAACTTGGCTCATCTGGCCTGGTTTTCCCCACAGTGAGCACAGAGCAGCATTGTTTCCCCCAGCGACTCTGTAAGTCCAACTGCTCAGCTTCAGCCCCAGAGCATGCAGAGAATGTGGCCCACAGCCTGGCTGCTCTCACTCCAGGGTTTACAGCTTCCTCTTCCCATCCCAAGCACTCCGTCTGGCCACCTTCACCTGCCTTTGAGATGCTTAAGTTGTCGAGGCATCCCTGGACCTATGGACCTGGGATGTTGTGTCAGAGATGGTTGGATGGCAAGGTCCTTGCTGAGTGCAGGGTTTTGTGTCAGGAGTATGGGAAGCCCAGAAACTTCTTCTGGGGCAATTGTCCTCTGTTTTTTCTGGGGCTGAGGCAGTGGCACCTGCAGCCTTGTGTGAAGTGGGAGTGATGGTCTCTTTGGGGAAAGAACAAGGGATTTCCCCATTTTCGGCCAGGAGGGAGGAGACTGTGCTGCTTTGAGGTGGTGCAACCCTCACTTGTGCCCCACTCTAGGCCTCTGCGGAACCACTGGCCTGTCACACCTCTTGGTGGCCCCAGGGTACCAGCCACCTCAGGGATGTCTGATCATCCCGTAGAAGCTGACTTTCAAAGACGCTGAACTCCCTGGAGGACCCAAGAATATCAGGAAACTCCAGGCAGGGCCATCGATATTTGGAGACCCCTTACTGAGTGTACCCTAGAGGGGAGCAAGCAGCTCAGAACAGTCCAGTGGCTGTGAGAGAAGATAGGAAGAGTGGAGACTGGGGAGGAGGGATGATAGGGGTTGTGTCAGAGGTGGTCTCCTCTGGCTCACTGTCTCCATCATCCAGACCTTCAGTGAGGGATGGGATGATGCGGACCATGTTGTCTTCAAAGTGCACCTGCTTCTTCTTGGCCAGAGAGTCAGCTGACTCAAGACTCAGCTCCATCAGGGAGTCTGGGGGATGGAGTGTGTTGGGCTTCTTGGTCCCCTTCAGGATGCTCTTCATGTGAATAAAGAGGGAGCCAGGCCCTTCCTTGAGAGCCCCATGGAAGGTGTAGGTTTGCTCAGTGTCCCCAGAGCCGGTGGTGCTCATAGCGCTGCTGGAGGGGTCTGTGTACTGCTCCGGTGGTGCCAGAACCTCGGGGGTAGGTTTCTTCTTTTTGCGCTTGCTCAGCAGAAAGTAGGCCAGCCCAGTAACAATGAGCATAGAACCTGGAAGAGAGTTGGGAGGTCAGGATGCTGGAAAACCAGAGGCCATGCAAGCTCGTTGTGCCACACGATCCCTGCAGCCAAGCACTGTGCAGCCACACTCAGGCCCCTATGCTTCTGGCCATCTTGCCTGGCTTGTCCTCACTCCTCACATTATACTTGGGGGACAGCCCTGACCTTGGCCACAGGGATGTGAGTAGGCCAGTGCCATACAGGGACCCTTATCGTGACCATTGGCTGAGGAGCTGGGCCCTTGCTTGGAAATCAAGGAAGGACTCCCTCTGGCCCTCAAGGACCCTTCCCTGATCCCTTAGCCTGAGGTCTTCGTGTTCATAACTGGCCCTGCAGCGGCTCAACCAGCCTTTCATCACCAGGCTGTCTCTGAATCAGGATGGGACTTTGGGATAAAGGCCTTCAGCAGGTCTGGACTCTATTTTGGATACTGGATTCTGATAGCTGAAATGGGCTTCCTTTTATTCTCAGAAATGGGGAGAGCCTCCTCCATTTCAGCATCCTCTACCCTTACCCACAGACTCAGAAGGAAAATGCAGGTCTCTCTGGGTGTGGCTGTTGTGTTCAGCTCCCTTATGTCTCCCTCGTCACAGATGATGTTGTCACAGCCCCCAGGCTGGAAGCTCCTCTGACATCATCCATAGGAAGCAGGAAAGGTGACTGTTGATGTCTGCTGAAGCCTGAGCCTTCTGTGTGTATCTCACTCTCCCAAGAACGGGAGGTTGTGCCTTGTTCCTGCATCATTAGTGCTGAGTCCTTCTCAGGAGTTCAGCTGGAGAGGCTAGGACAGGGGTGCTAAAATAACTTTCAGGAAGGAGGGGGGCTCTGCTTTTCAACGTGGGTCTTCATGGAGGGTCGGTTTACCATATTTAAAAGGGGTTCATGAGGGGGGCATAGTTTTTATACATAGGGAGAAGAAAAGAGGATACTAGCAAAAAAGGTTACGGACAAAACAAAAGAGGTGGGAGTGATCAGAAACTAGACTGACGCACATCAGTGTGTATCAGGCAGAGTAGAAAAAGGAGATGGCTGCAAAGGTATCTTGGGGTTCTACCATGAAGTGCCTTTCAAACCAGGCTGGCGAATTTGTGCCTGAATGCATAGGTTCTGGGAGATACAGAAGGATTTGGGGAGGGAAGTGGCCATCTCATACCCTTGGAAAGCTGGAGGTCAGTGGAGGTAAAGGCTGGCTCCTCTTTGTGGGTACAGCCTCTAGTTGGCTATTGAATGAAGGGTGCACATCTTGGGACATTCCTGCCCTTTGGTAAGCATGGAGGATGTCTGACAGTCTCTCAATCTCAGGCCTGCACCCTAGGTCAGAGACAGCAGTGGGTCTGTTGGGGGCTCCAGAGCCAGCGTTGGAGCAGGGCTATGAGGGGCCTCTTGTTCAAAGCCTACTTGTGATGAGGGCTGCATGCTCCACTACCCCCTGGTGCTCCTACCTGGAATGGTTACATGCCAGACCAGGACAGGGTGGAGGAAACAGGCCACTGACAGCAGCATGTAGGCCAAGAACTTCTGGAAGCAGCCCAGCCACTGGGCCTTCTGCCTTGCTCTGTCAGCCAGGGACCCTGGTCGAAACCTGCGGGGGAAGGAGTTCAGGTTCAGAGTTAGAATGATGCGGCGCAGGAAAGCCCCAGCAACATGGACGGCCTTAGAGGCTGGGGCTGGGCCCTACTGTGGGCCTGTAGTCCTGGAAGCCTCAGAGATCATCACTGTGTGTTCCACAATGAAAAGCCTTGCCCAAGTCCCCCTAGAAAGTACACAATTTTTTTGAAAGACTGCCCATCCCTGTCTTTCTGGTCAGTGGTTAAGGAAGATAAATGCTCTCAGGTTGCTGCAAGAGGCAAGGAGAAGGAGCATGGGAGGTTCAGGGCCCATTAGAAAGTCCACAGTGAAGCACAGAAAGCTTGTAGTATGGGACCCACCTGGTTGGGACAGTCGTGTAGATGGTTCACGGCACAAGGGGCCTAGCCAGGGTGAGT